TTTTTTTTTTTTTTTTTTTTTTTTTTTTCTGATGATGCTATCGATTATGATGATGGTGAATGCTGATGATGCTACTGTTGATGATGATTAGTATATCAGCCCTTCTGGCCTTCTACTCGTAGCTCAACTCCTAGCCCACCCTGAATAAGGACATTGTAACTCAAAGACAATACTAGCCTAACCGATATCACAGGGCCACGCCCCAGCTCCGGCCAGCGTCATTCTGGCATCAGTAAACCAGGGGCACAGAACAGAACAACTCTGCCGATATCAGTCGTGGTTCGATCATCTCTAAATTCCTAATCGAACCACCTCTAAATTCCTATATCCCAGCCGGATGCAGATTCTGGGGTACATGTGAGAGTATGCACCTCCACAGTTCCAGGTGATCACTGACTGGCCTCTACAGCACCCTGGACTTTTGTAGTGAAAAAAAAAAAAAGGGAGTACGCACCTCCAACGGGCCTGACGGCAGCAGGAACAAACAAAAAAAAAAGAAAAAAAAAAGCAACGACTCTTTGGACGTGAAAGCAGCTAGATACAGAATCTGGAGTACCTGTGACAGTATGCCCTCCCAACGGGCGATACAGCCCTGCTGTAATCACGACAGCAGAAGAAAAAAAAGAAAACGAAAACAAAAAAGCAACAACACTCTGGACGTGAAAGCAGCTGGATACAGAATCTGGAGTACGTGACACTGTGAGAATGCTCCCCCCATTTGCAAAGTGTCAGCTGCCCGTGGAATGCGCCTTGCCTCTCGGTGGCAGGCAGATCGCCAAAAAAAGAAAGCAAAACACATACAAAAAACGAAGCTGGCTATGTTTCTGAGTGCTAGATGGCGTTTCTTTGAGTATTGATGTGAGCACATCTCTTGTTGGCAGGTAGTAAGTGACAGTCTTCTTCAATTCACGAGACCTTTTTCATATTCATTCTTATTCTCATAATGTATTCAAGTTGTACAATTAAGGGATGCTGGACCCGGTTTCCAGCAGGTGATGCTCCCCACCAATAGATGGAGCTTGTTTTAAAAAAAAAAAAAAAAAAAAAAAAGATGTGAGCACATCTCCTTCACAGCCTTCCGATGTGAGCACATCTCCTTCACAGCCTTCCCCGATGTCCTTCCTTTCTTTCTTTTCTTCTCTTTTTCCTTTTTTTGGGTAAGTGAAACTACAACTGATGCCGAGCCTCTGGTACCTCATAAATCTTCGGGGACTTCGGGAAAACATCCACTTTTCCCTAATTTCCCAACACTGGCAAGGGTACTAGTGGTTGGTTTTGAGTATTAAACCACCAGCACCTCGCCCAGCTTGAAAAAGCCGACGCGGCCATTAACGCGCCGCGTCGGGTGGGGTACCCACCGGCAAAAGACCGGTATTCCCCAAAGTACGGGCCAAAAAAAAAAAA